CTGGTCAAGCGACTGAACGCTTCTTCCACTGGCGGTGAAACACCTACAGACTTCATTCACATAAGAACAAAGGCTCTTACAGATCCATGCTGCCAAATACATAATATAACTAACACATTTGAAGAGAAAAAAACAACAATAATTGGATCATATATATGCTAAAATTAATGTTGTTTGGATGTGAGAATTCATCTCTGAAATCATAAAGTCATGTTATTGATTTTATTCAAATTTAAATTAAGCTTGACAATAAACCTTTTTTTTTTTGCTAAGAAACCTTGGCATACAAATATCTCTATGCAAGTAATTTGGAAAGGATTAAGAAATTAAAACAAGCACATTGTTAGAGATCCATGCAGAGATATTCATAAGACCTTTCTTTAGATTTTGTCACATTACAATCAATAATGCTTTTTCTTATTTTAATGTGGGTTTATTTATTGGCATATAATTGTGACGTAATAGAAAATTGACAGAGATCTTTCAAAGTTTTTTTCATAGTGAAAAACTCTGAATAACTTCAAGAGATATGAATAATTAGCAAAGTGCAGGGAACAGATGTTTTCACAGATAATCATAAAGTACTGAGTTGTAAATTAATCACAAACTAAAGAAAAGTTCAACAAATTTAGTTTTAAACGTTTACAAAAGATTTGTTGATTTTAGACATTACAATTTTAAACTTACTTGGATGACCTTTGCAGCTCCGTCTGTCATGGCGAGAGGACAGGTGTAGAGACCAGATGAGGGGGAGAAAATGTACAGCTTGCTCATCTGGTAAACACGACTGGAACAAACACACGAATATATACTCAACCAGACATCGACTAGATTAAGTTATTAAACTAAGGTAGAAAAAGAAAGAGGACGGCTTACCTCCACTCCCTGAATGACTTGTCGTAGCCGATGGCAACCAGTCCCTCCTGCGCTGAGAGGTCTTTGAGGCGTTTCCAGGCTGCAGAGGTCACGATGTGGTCTACTCTCCGACCCCAAGGATCAAAATGCACAAGTCGAGGAGGATTGAGTTCACACTCTCTACCCAGAATGTCTATTTCCTTTGCCACGCGTTTTCCGAATGCATTCAAGTCAGACAAGATGGCCTGAGAACTAGACTAAACACAAGGAATTAATTAGAGATGGTAGTTCAAGTCCAGATTATTTAGTTAAAATCTGTTCAAAAACTTTGGAGTATTTGATTAAGAAATAAAGATCAACAAATTCTTTTCTCCAGCTAAATAGCATAATAAACAGTCATGTTAAGCAGAGTGATTCTTGCTCAGAATACCTCCTGTGGCAGATGTCGCTTTAGGTATCCTCTAAGCAAAGCGTCCTCCAGGAATGGATTCTTCAGGACTGGCTGGTCCTGAAAGAAAGATCCCACCCTAGCCCTGCTGAAAGGCATACCACCTGCTGCCTCCCACTGATGGTCCTCATCAGATTTTCTTGCCCCAGGCTCAGCTGCACTGGCTGATCTGATGTGGATGAGCGGTCGAGGAACGCCACACCACAGCCTGCAGCAGCTGCTGCCAGCTACGCGTCTGCTCAGGATGGCTGAGGACACCGCCATGGCGTCAGGATCTGTCTGTTCAAGGAATCAATGAGTTATATAATCTTACATTGTTACACGCAAAGCATCCTATGATGTGCAAACTTACCTAAACCTAAATGATAAAAACCTTTTTATTATAGCTTTGAGCTTTATGAATGGCAATTTTCGAATGAAAAGTTACTTTTTAGCTTCACCTTAATGTCATGCACTCTTGACTTGCATATTTTTAAGAAACTTTGCCTCTGAATTTCATCATGTTCACATTCCAATGAAGCAGGGAGTTACTCATCTCTACAATTAAACTAACTGATTGATGAAACAATAAGGTTAAAAAAAAGTTTCTGTTAAGATTGTGATAGAGGTGATATAGTTAAAACACCAAATACTTAAAAAGACGCACCTCCCCCCCACCTACACTGAATGTTAAAAGGTCTTTATCAGGGGTGTCTACAAACTCGAATGGTGTTGCATCCCTTTGTCGTATAAAGGATCATCTCAGCTTTGCCTCAAATTGCCTCAAAAGTTGAGATGTCACAGGAAAGCAGGAGAAAAATGTAGAAATTGATTTATTTTAATTGAGTTTAAACTTGAAACATTTCACATCTTACTTCTCTTATCCTAATTTAATTATCACTCAATATCAACATTTAGAACATAAGCTTGAACTGCATTGATGATAAAACTGAACAGTCATAGCTCCTTCAAAAGAGAAATTAAAATACCGTAGCAGCTTGTGTTACATTAATCGCTGTTAAATAATTAATACAGACCTGTAAGAAGACTAGCCTCTAAACACAGGTAAATAGACAGGACTTTCGCAAATTTTAATCACTCAATTTGCTTTTCTTTATTAATTTTCTCATACTAAATAAAGTCTGCATGAAATCTGAAAGCAGAAGTCAACATCCCTGCTTTATAACAGCTTAATCATTTTATTAGATAGAAATCAACCACCTCTGGTTTCTCAATTTAATTATATTAAAAAATATATTTCTATTAAATATATATTTTCACTTTCATTAATTTTATTACTAGCCTTAAATGACCTCTGTACCATGTGATCTTGGCATGCCTTTAAATGTATTTGTTGTTTATTTTACATATCTTTTGTTTACAACTTTAAACAAAGAGACAAAAGTAGGCATTTCGTTTTCTATTCTGATACAAAAAATGAGCTTTAATTTGGATTTATTGTGATTTTACAGAAAGTAAACAAGAGGCACAGAGACGGTCGGTCACGGATGTAGATCAAAGTTCATTTGACTCTATTTGCATGTTTATACACATCTTTGATGCACTAATCTGCAGTTATTCCTGTTTTACCAACAATCTGATTGTTAATCTGACTAATAATATCCGGTTATTCTTTAATTGCTGCTTGCTTTTGCAGTTTAACAATAAAAAACATAAAGCGAGTAAAAAGGAGCGTTTTAATGTAGCTGATTATACATAGTTAAGTAGTTTAGCTACAAGCAAGTTAGAATTGTTATTTAATAAAACACTGGAGCGGTTTTAGGTCTAGTTTAGAAGATTATTCGATCTAAACAACGAGCAAATATCCTTACCCAGAGCAGCGCAGCAGCAGCAAACGACAACAAATTTCGCCTTCAAAATAAAAGTCGGAAATGGTGATTTGATGTTAAAAATCCTGAATGTTTTCCTCATTTTTTATATTTAGCTTTGGCTATACGTTAAGTTTGCATCGCATGAGTGGGGAGGCTTTTTGACGCCAACACACTGTTTTAAAATGGAAATGCTTCTAAAGCAATGAGGGTTAGTTTACTTTCAGACCACAGTGAGTTTTGTGTATAGACAAGAAGTTCAATTTAGATATCTTCTGCTTACAAATATTATTTATTTTACAAATAAATGAAAAAAATGTAAAAATGTTCCAGTTCTGCTGTGTCAACTACTTCTTTGGTAAACTTTAAACAGGACTTCTTATGTCTTTGTATCCCACCAGAGAGGCCAGGTATGAGGTGACCTATCTCTGATTGGCTTTTTTTTTTATCTGATTCATTCTCCCCTTAATGATCAAATTGGTTTAGATGAGCAGACATGTGGTTTAGTCACACGCCTGTTTTCCAACTTTGGATGATTGGTTTAAAACAGGACTGCAAGATGTTTGTAACCTAACCCTGCTTTTACGTTTATTCCTTTTGCTGTTCCTTAAAACCATCCTTTGTCTTTTACATTTGTTTCCCAATATTCATTAACAAACATCTGGATCCTTTAATAGAACAGTTGTATTTAGATTTGTGATACTCTTCCAGATTTTGTTTTGTAGAATACCTTGCAGTTTCAAGGACATTAGGATCAGATCAGTGAAAACCACTTACTGAGTTGGGTTTCCTGCTGTTTTTTTGTTTTTCTTTAATCCACAAATGGCTTTTCATTCAGCATTATGTGAAAGGGCTTGTGCTGAAGAAACAAAATGTTTTAATAGCTGGTCTGGATTATTCTGGTTTTATTACACAAATCTTTAAATCAGTTTGGGTTGTGTATTAAACAAAATTCTCAAACCCCTTTAAAGCTTTATTTGGATTCTAATCCAAACACAGTTCATGTACGGTAGTTTGGTCATGGTCTAACTCAAGAATACCATCCTACATGCAGCCCAACCAAGAGAGAAGTTTGAATTACAAAAGCATTAAATTAAAACTGAAGGTGATAAGAAGTTCTGTAGTCCAGCAGCAGTCATTTTTCTTAGGAAACTGATTAGAAGTGAAAGAAATGCATTTATCCCCCCATACTCATTTTTTCCCCATTGCTTTCCATACAAATTTAAATCAAGAGCTTTTCATATTGATTTGTTAAGGATTAATTCCTTTTTATTTCACTGTTTTAAATAACTGTTACATCTGTTCATTTCTATATCTGTTCACTCTTGTGTGGGTCAGCAAAAATGGTACGGTGGCCAGAGTGACTCCAGCATCATCTTATGTGGCAACACTTTAGGCTGGGTTGCTTTGGGAGGGAGACATGCTGACTGACCTTTAGATAAAAAGGGAAAGGGTGCAAACTCTTTGCTTTTTCAGCCCGATAGATGGTAAGATCTTCCTCTGTAATTTGTGCTTGTATCAATGATTTGTGAAACATTACTGGAATAAGCTGGTGAAGATTCTCTGTCATCCAGGTCAGTCATTCCAAAAAAGTAAAAAAAAAAAAAACAAAAAAAAAAAAACAAAACTGGAACTAATTTCCAAGTTTGAAGACGTTCCCATCCAGGAAGCTTTTACTGGATGGGAATGTCTTAAAAATAGGAAACAAAGTCCAGTGGGTCTTTTTTTTTTTTGTTTACCGGTAACTTTTTTGGAATAAATACTGTTAATACTTAACTGTGTATCCTCCTTTGTGTACTTTGAGAGATTACCTTCATCGGATTTGGACCAGATAAAAATTGGGTTCTACAACAACAGGTTGATTCAATAAAGACAGTCAAGTGCATTGCATTGCATTTTATTTAGGGGCATCAGAATAGAAGGAGCTGAAAACAAATCAATGACCAACTTCTCAAAACGTGTGTCAATTTTTTTCTAACACCATCTGATAAAACTGCTTTGTGCTACAATATACAGAATGTATGGTCGGAAACAAAATATAATGCAATAAAATGTATAACAATGGCAACATTACATAAAGGTGGAAGTCAGGGGTAAGCTGCTAAAAAAAACAAAATGATGCATCGAACACAGGGAGATAAAAGTGAAATGATCTGGGACCGGTTTTATTGTTGTAAGTAAAGTTGGTCAAAAATACACAAACACTTGTTTCGATTAGACTGAAAAGGCATGCACCGTTTAATAAAACATCTCCATGACATCTTAAAAATCTTTTCAAAATGAAGAACACAGCCACTAAATAATAAACAGACATTTAGCTTTTTGCTTAAAAAGGAACAAAGAACAATCAAAAGGGAGAATGTAGAAGCTCTGAAGGAACATTTCCACTGATAAAAACCAAGCTGGTAGTTCTTCTTGGTGGATGTAACATCTCACGCTTTAACTTGGTTTTCTAACCAGGATGAACAATTATAACCAGAGACGCTGATGCTTGTCTTAGTGTATAAAACTAAAAGTTATTGTATAGAGAAGGGATTTTTTGGACTTGCTGTGCAGCAACTTACAGTTTGTAACACCCACCTGATGGATGACCAAATGAAAAACAAGTGTAGCTTATAACGCGGCTGCACATATAAAAACCATTAACCTTCACACTTTACGATGTTAAGCGGTAATAACATCTTTTAAACCGATAGACACAGTCTATAAGCATATATATATATTTATAAAAAGGACTAAGAAAAACCACAGAGCTAACCGACAATACAGAAATCAACCAAACTTAGGTTTTAAGATGTGGAGAGATTGAGAAGTGATTACATCCCCAAATAATCTGGGATCGCTGAACAGAAGTAGCGGTCCTTGTGAGTCGAAGTTAGCAACACTCGAGTTGAATACTCTCTTTTTTATTACTTTTTTATTTGTTTGACCTTCTGTTATTTGGCCAATCCAGTCCTTTTTAGTCACCTTTGGTAAGGAGGTCCTCTATATATGCATCAAGTTCATCATCTGTGTTTATATCAATGTCCTGAAAATGTCAAGAAAGAAAAAGAAGAAAATACTTGAGTTTTCAACAGTAAAACTAACCAAACATGTAACGTGAGAAACAATCATGTACAACAGGCTGGCACACCATACCTCTTGCACTTTCTGTAGAAGTGCTACGATGTTGGTTCGTAGTTTTTGAAGTTTTTCATCTGCTTCCTTCAGTTTGAGCTCAGTGTTGTTGTTCTTTTCCTCCACAGCTTTGGCCCTGGCATCAGCTCTGCTCTGGTACGAGTTACACAGTGACTGGAGACCCGATTCATACTGCTGGAAATACTCTTTCTAAAGAGAGGGGGGGGAAACACTTTAGTTGGGGTCAGAACCACCGCCTTGGTATGAACTGTGTGTGTTTTTTTTTAAATAAAGTCCAAAATCAGATCAGGAAATCTTAAAATCATAAGCATCACATTCCAGAGTGGCTTAAATCTGTATTTTTTAAATTGCATATACATCTTTCTAAACAAATGTTGGTTTTCCTTAATATTCATTATTTCAGTCTACACTGATATTTATAAATAAAGTAAACAGAGAAGGAAAAGTCACAATACAGATTGCTAAAAAATCTATTGTATGTAAATGTAATATGTGACTTTGTATATTTTGGAGGTCCTGGGTTAAATGATTTATCAGACTACAGCTTTGTCTAATTAGACATATCCATGTTTCTGATCAGTTTTTTGGAATAAAACAAGAGACTCATGCTTGTTGTATCATGTATCTCACCAAAGGAAATGCCATCAGCTCCTCGGCAGTCATGCTGTTGACATCGTCTTTGGGAATCCGAAAAGCAGGAGGGAAGAAATAACGCAGCATCGTCCTGAAACATGAACAGACATGACTGTGGATATCCTAGGAAAGGGATGTGGATTTACAACATATTTATGATTCCACATGCAATATTTTAGGCCTAGTATTATAGTATCTCGTATTTGGTGGAGCCTCCAGAATGCTTTGATAGCATTGTGGTTCTTCCTGAGGACCATAATCCATAATCCTTTTACCCCTTTTCTATCAGAACCTAATCTATACAACGAAGTAAATCTATCAACCATTTCATCGATTTCATTGAGGATAAACTAAGCCCTTCAATGATATTTTCCTTAAAAAGAGCAATTTTTTGTTTCTTTTTTGGACCCAAGGCTCATGACAGAGAACAAAAATAAATAAATAAAAAAGAAAACCTAATGCTGTTTTTAAATAATAATAGTATAAACAAAATCCTTCCAGCTGCAGCTTTTTTTCCGCCAATGCCACCATGCAGCAGCGATTTATCTACTTAAACTTGAGACATAAAGAAAAACCTGATCCAAACCAGAGACGGGCAGTTTTTATACAGCCGAACCACAACCAGAGAGGCAGTTTGATTTTAACACGACAAATACAAAATTAAACAACAAGAAAATAAAAAAGGTAATTACTTTCCTCCACTAAAGATGTGAGATTTCCATAAAAAAATTTATAAAAATCTCCACCCTAGCTTTCAGTCTGTTAGATTTTCCGATTCAGATGAATGAATAACGATCAAATTCAGAACAACTGGAAAACGGGAAACTATTTCCACTGGATGAAACATAAAATTTACTTATTGGGTTTTAGAATTCTGCGCAGGTGGTGAAAAATATTACTAGCAGTGCAGAAAATGCGCTCTGAAGGGATGCTTATCTTTGCAAACAGTGACTTGAACGAATAGATCATCCATCGCCATTTGTTGGACTGAAGAATATAGGTTGGAACATTTTTAAATATCACCCAACCTTACAGTGAAATAGCATCTAAATGGGGGGTGGTATCTTCAATCAGAGATCCTTTTACATTGACCAGTAATATTCAAATCTTAGAAGGAACTTCATTGTCCTTTAGCCCAAGTTGTTGAATACAATAAAATCTTCTTGTGTGAAAAAAAACAAACATTGTTTCTATGTGAATCAAGAGTCTCACCTCAACATGGCGACTAGGCTGTCCGTCACCTCTCTGCTGGTTCCAGGCTGAGTCGTATCGGGTTCCATGGGGGCTGAACCTTTCTCAGTCTCTTGCTGGGTGTCGGGGGTCTGAGAGTTTGGAGATGGTGGCCTCATCAACCGTACTTCATCGCTGCCTTTGAACACCCTTTAGAAAAAGCTAAAGTTATTTTCTGTGGAATAAATCAAAGTTCTTAAAATAAAAAAAGACAACATCTCACCATCTGTCTTTGGGGGTGGCCCGAGGTACATAGTCAAATTTGACTTTCCAGCGAATGCTCTGTTTATTCGCCTCCACAGCAATAACTTTACCAGTAAACCACTCCTTATTGACACGCACTTCAACCAGAAGACCCTTGTCTGTAAGAACATGACATTAGTAGGAAAAGCCGATTTTTTTTAATATACTTGACAGTTTAATATACAACATCTCACCTTTCTGTGCATTTTTAGTGTCATTCTCTGGTTCCTTAGACGCGGTTTTCTCAGAGGCCTGAAACAAAAACACATTACTATTAAAGTACTAGAAATAACGGTTTACCAAGAAGACAGAGGGATGAAAATCAATAGTGCTGATTGGTCGAACCTAGCATGCAGAAGCATAAAGAAGAGTGGTAGAGGTTAAAAAACAAACATAATGTAGGGTGATCATGAAAAGAGAGAAGGTTAATCAGAGAAGACACCTGTATTAGTTGAAAAAAAAAACTACTTGATTCCTAGAAATGGTGAGAAGGAAGTAGTTAGGGTGCCCTTTAAAGATACCTTCTCTTTATCCCCCTGCTGCTGTGTGGGAGCAGCTTTGGGGACAGAGGTTGGTGCAGGTGGCTGCTGCCGTGTAGGAGTGGATATTCCTTTCTTCTCAGGCTGAGTGTGTGTTTTATCCTGCAAGGTCAATAGTACAGGGGTTCTGACTGGAGACTTAGTTGACCGGTAGAAGTCTCTACAACCCATCTAATGAAGAAGAGTCCATGCCCAGACAATAAGATGTTTTGCAGATGCTTCCAGGCTCTAAACATGGAAATTTGATTGAATCTACATAAAGCCAAAGATGAGCAAAAGCTCATCATTAAGTGATATACATGTTCATGGATAATATTAGGGCTGAAACTTTTAATTGATTATTAATAATTGTTGACTAAATCAGGAACTGATTAAATAGTTATCTGGAGTATAAAGAGCCTAAAACATGCCATTCACTTCAAGAAAAAACAACTTGGAGCAGTAATTACCGTATTTTCACGACTATAAGGCGCACTTAAACGTCTTTTTTTTCCCTCAAAATGTGCGGTGCGCCCTATGGTGCGGTGCGCCCTATGTGTGTTGTAACTGCGACTTTTGAGACCACCTCATTGAGGAGATGATGAAAGAGTGGCTGAATGTAAGGAGACCAGGTGTTTTTTTTTTCCACCCCTCACCATCGCTGTTAATATGTAACTCCATGCGTGCCCATCTCACAGCTGATGTGAAAAACATGGGGAAACAAATGAATGCTGTGCTCGCTGTTCAACCGCTCGACATCGGTGTGAACCGGACCCAGCAGGTGCAGCAGAAGCAGCGAGTTTACATGCAAAGTAAATGGTTGACGCGCGTATAGGTGCAGCAAAAGGTCCCGCAGCGCGTTTTGGTGCAGCACGTCGGGAGCCTTTAAGCATCTGAAGCGCCGCCAACGCCCTGCTGCTGCTCGAGATGGAAAAATTGATGTTTTGCTGCTGGACGCGCCGCATCAACCAATCAGAGAAGCAGATCTGGGAGCTGACAGCGAGACAGACACAGCACTCTGATGACATATGATATTAACGCAAATGAAAAAGGCTGGGTGGATGCGTGGCTGAGGCAGGTGTATCTGAGAAGACTAGGTGGTTTTTTCCACGCATCACCATTGCTGCGTGCCCATCTCACAGCCGATGTGAAAAAAAGGTGAATCAAATGAACGCTGTGCTCGCCGTTATCCCGGGGGTCTGACAAAGGAACTTCAACCGCTCGACATCGGTGTGAAGCGGCCGTTCAAAGTAAGGCTGCGAGCGGCGTGGGAGCGATGGATGACAGACGGAGACCACAGTTTCAGGATAAGTGGAACGCAGCGCCGGGCAAGTTATGCCACCGTTTGCGGATGGATTGTAGATGGACTAACGTGTCTGCTGGCTCTGTTGTTCAAGCTTTCGCAAAAGCCGGCATTATTTCTGAGGAGCTGCGCTGCACGGAAAGTGACTGACAGCGAAGAAGGGGAAACTGGCATGTCTGATTTAGCGCAGCTGTTTTATTCAGAAACAGAGGATGATGACTTTGATGGGTTTGATTAATACTTTGTAATAAATACATGAATAAAGCACAATCATACTCAGTTTTGCTCCCGCTCTATTTTTCTACCTGAAAACTTAATTCAACAGCAGCCTCTGGGCGGGTCTCCTCCTCTTCAGCGCAGTGGCTGGCAGGTGTTTTTTCATCTAAATAATCTAAATCTTGCAGCTATATTTGCTGTGATCAGTGGGAATAAAGTAGTTTTAATATGTTTTTAAGTGAGAAAGTCCACCTGAAAACTTCATAATTGCAGTCAGTTCATCCAGATTATCCATTTCTGTCGGAGCCGCTCAGACCCCCACATACCAGCGGTGCACCGACAGTAAATCCATTCATCAGCAGCCTCACCGCGGCTGCTGGCAGGTGTTTTTCATCTAAATAATTTAAACTGCAGGCACCAGGATACCGGTAATAAAAGCGAACATATTCCGTCGGCAGGTTTCAGGATTTTAAGTTAATTTAGGAGTGACCACAGCGCTGTGTCATCTGCGATGTGTCTGTCTCACGGCCAGCTGCCAGGTTTGATTAATACTTTGTAATAAATACATGAATAAAGCACAGTAATACTCAGTTTTGCCCCCGCTGTATTTTTAAATACGCAGTAGAGGTATTTAAAGGTAGTAGAGGACATGTACCTGTATATAAAAAACGCGCCCTATAGTCCGGTGCGCCTTATGTGTGTGTTAAATACAGAAATGGGACACATAACCGAGAGTGCGCCTTTTAGTCCGGTGCGCCTTATGGTCGTGAAAATACGGTATGCAGAAAAAAACCAAAAAAAACCCTGCATCCATCCATTTCATGCATTTTCTGTCATGCTTTATCCCAGCTGGGGTTGCAAGGAGTGCTGGTGCCTATCTCCAGCTGTCTATGGGCAAGAGGTTGGGTACATCCTGGACAGGTCACATCGCAGGACAACATAGAGACAAACAGGACAAACAAACATTCACGCACACAATCACTCCATAAGGAGAGTCAAGGCAAAGCCATTTAACCTAATAGTAGGGCTGGGTATTGTTCAAAAATTTCCGGTTCCGGTACCAATACCGATACCTTCACTTCGATACCGGTTCCTGAACGATACTTTTTTCGATACCAGTTTTATAATATCAATTCGAAGAAAAAGAAAATTACACAACATAAAAAAGTACAAATCTTGAGTTTTATTTTAAGCTCTGATTTTTCCATTTACATTTTTCCTCTTACATTAAAAAAAAAATTCAGTCTCTAATATTCACTGTTACATTGTGAGGACCTTTTTACTTAGCAGTTTTCCTTTAGAAAAATTACCATGTCTGACAAACAAGCCCGTTGAATGGGATCCTATTGACAGCGTACTGATGGTATGGGGAGGTCTGAGCGGCTCCGACAGAAATAATATTGGAAGGCTGATATGGATGAACTGACTGCACTGATTAAGTTTTTAGGTGGATTTTCCCACTTAAAAACATAATAAAACTACTTTATTCCCACTGATCACAGCAAATATAGCTGCAAGGCAAATAAAGGATAGAGTAGCTCCGCCCAACGCGCATCAGAGCCACTTTTTGACCGCGCAGCCAGAGCAGCAAAGCTTCTTCAGCCGCGTGTCAGAAGCTGGTACAAGCATCCAAAAGGAAGCAGCAGACGCGATTTTGCTGCTCCTAATGCGTCCAGTTTGAAAGCAGCATGATTAACTCCGCTCTGGCTTTGCACTGCCCATGGGCTGCTGAGAGGAGGATGGTCGCCCTGGCTGCGGTCCGCTCTTCTTGCAGTCAAACACCGAGCAACTTTCTGCTCTTAAATTGTTTCCGTGCACGATGTATTGCATTGCGCACTATTGGCATCAGTCTTAATAAAGTGAAGCCACACTTTTGACCTGGGGGGCATTTTAAAGGGGTTCCACGACGCTCGCAAACAGTTCACAACAGATACACATGAACCCTGGCTGTAGGCGTGACCACCTGTGTATTTTTCCTGGATGACGCAATCACGTTAAGTGTTACAGCCAATCACCGAAACTTGGTACCGAAAGACTAGGCATGTTTCGATACTCTGTAGAACCGAAGCATTTCGGTCGGTACCATAAAAGAACCGAAGTTCGGTACCCAGAACCTACCTAATAGTCATGTTTTTGGACTGTGGGAGGAAGCCGGTGTACCTGGAGAGAACCAACACTTGCACAGGGAGAACATGCAAACTCCATGCAGAAAGACTGAGTTTTTCTCCCCCCAAACCTTCTTGCAAGGTGTTGATTATGGTTAGCAACAGATAAAAGTCCCATTTAAATATAATGATCAACTATATTTTGGCATAAATTAGTTTAGTAAAGTCCTTTCACCTGGTGCAAACCATCATTTTTGGGGTTTTACAATGTTTATTCTCTTCTAATATCACCCTTAATAATAACTGAACTTTATTGATCTCACACTGAAGAAATTTACCTCTGCATTTAACCCATCCCTTTGGGAAGCAGTGGGTTGCGATTGTGCGGTGCCCAGGGGGCAGTGTGGGGTTAAGGGTCTTGCTCAGAGACCCAGGGTGTAGGCTGTGGGGATCGAACAGGATACTTGCAACCTTCTCAGAGCACAAGCGCACTGCCATAACCACTAGGCCAACAGCCCCTCAATTATAATATATACTTAACAGTTTGTCTCAGTAACAATGTTATAAACTTTTTTTAGTGATTTCAGGAAAATTAACCACCTACATATAGAAGAAAAAGCTATCATTGGTAGCTGTTTGTCATCTAAGTGTTTAGAACCCGTTATGCATGAAATATTTTTAACACAATCTAGAGATGCTTTCATTACAATTCCAAAAACTTAGTATAATTACCTCGTCCAACCTCCCCCGTTTTGGAGGCAGGGCTTTCTCCACCATTTTACCACGCACAGAGGCAGCAGCTGTGGCCATCTTGGATTTCTTTGTTTGGGGTTCTTCTTCAACCTCCTCTTCACTGTCTTGCTCTTCTTCTTCCTCCTCTTCTTCTTCTTCTTCTTCTTCCTCCTCCTCCTCACTTTCCTCCTCCTCCTCAATTATCCTCTTGCGCTGTCCAGTAGGAGTTGGTTTGACAGATGATGCTTTGGTAGAGGCCTGTGGAAGGAGAAAGCCAACTATTTTAGATCTCTGAAGGGAAATCCAAGAAAACCTGTAGGGTACCTAAAGCCCTCATTTACCCTCGAGCTGCGACTGGATGGAGGTGTTCTAGCAGAGGCTTTTGGGCTAGGCTTTGCAGCAGCTTGAGGGGTCTTCGCAGCAGCTTGAGGGGTCTTCGCTGCAGCTCTGGTCCTGGATGGTTCTGACTTAGGAGGTGTAGGAGGAGCTGCAGATGCTCGGGTGGGACGCTGAGAAGCTGTACGTGATGGAGGGACACTCGGAGCGTTCTTCAGGTGAGCTGGGAGAGGCGGAGAGCGTGGGCGTGTTGCAGACCTTTCAGAAGACCTAGTCGTCTAAACAAGTAACCAAAAGGAGTGAAGAAATATAAAATTAAAATTTTTGCATAAATAAAACTAATGAATTTAAAACCCCTTAAAGAAGCTTATAACTACCTTTAAATATTGGGACTAGGGTCTCAAAAATTGTAAATTAAATAAGTGATTTTTTTTCTTAAATTAAGTGCCTTTTTTCTTAAATTGATAATTGAGTGGTGAGACACTTTGCCAATGGTACAAGACAATTTACACTAAAAGAAAAACTTTTGTATTGTTTTATTTCATGTGAATCTTAGCTAATCATCTTATCTTAAGAGTAAAAATACAAATTCCATTGGCAATCCTTTTATTAACCTACTCAAATTAAGGGTATATACACTTAGTTTAAGACATTTTTACTTGTTTCTAGATTGTTTTTGCAATGTGTATGCAGATACATTATTTTTGTATCAACACTAAAAACAAGAGTTGCTTACATATTTTTTCTGTTGTTCATTTTATGTATCTTGATTATCAGCAAATTTAAAGAAAAATAAACTTTAAAGAAAATCTTGAACTATTGTCAAATTGGAAAATATATTTAAGGTTCTGTATTATACATTTATTGCACACCTATTCAACTTGCATCTGGGATTCTGGTAAGAACATATACTCAATATTGAGATAAAAAAAAAAAAAAAAGATGAGTTTTATATTTCAATTTAAATATTTTCACACCTTTGTCATCTTTTATCTCTGTGAAATCAAAAATGGCATTAACTATCAAATATATTCCTGGCTATAAATATCAGATTTGACATTCTATTATCACAACAACTCCAATAGGTATAAATTATTCACAACACTTAGAAAAACCTTTGAAATACATCTGAAGGTAGAACGTTCAAATCCATTTACTTTCAAAGTGGGTTTTCCTGCAGTTGCTGATACACACCTCACTACTAGTAAAATCACAATAATTGCCAATAGCTATCTAAAAAAGGAAGAAAAAAAAAAAAGAGAACCTTAAAAATACATTCTGTCTTGTTAGGATGGATGAAGCATGAACTGTGTATGAGACAGCAAACATGTTGTGCAATCATTTTTACTTTACAGTCCAATTTCTCAAAAACGGTCTCTCAAAATGTGGGTGGGTGGAAGGAACCTAATTACGATGAGACTCTTACCTGACCTGAGGTCTCTGTGGGTTTCATACTGACTTCAAGTGGGAGCTTTTTGATGTCTGCTGCAGATTTAATTGTGCTGGTTTTCTAACCGAAAGACATTGAATATTTAGATGGAGGTATTCACATAAGAGAATAGACAAGAAGGTTAAAAAAAATAAATAAAAATACCTGTAAGGCTTCTAGTTTTTCCTTCTGCGCTCTGATTTTCTCTGCTAGCTCTTTCTGTTTGTCTTCAACTGTTTGTTTTTCTTTCTTTAATACACCGACAGGAAAATTTTGTTTCTGTTCTGGAGCTTCACATCTTTGACATAAAACAAGAAAAAGAAAGAATAATGAACAAATCTAAATATCTTTGGTAGAAACAGTCAATGGTTTCATGGAGAGGCGTGTGAGATGAACTATTTGACTAATAACTTGAAATGAGATGTTTTGTCATGTCCAATAAACTGTACCTGTCCTGAGCGCCATCAGGGTTCATGAGACACACCCAACTGTCAGGGTAGCGTTTGTCAACTGCATCCATCTGGAAAGGCAGCGTTCTCCACTTCAAACACTTATCTGAAAACAAAACACAGAACCGTATGTCAAGTAAGTTTCAACCTACCGTATGAGCTCAGAGAAACCCAACAGACTAAAATTTGCCATGTACACAGCAGATCAGTCTGGAAAGGAGTGGCTTGAGCCCAATTTCAAAGACAGGACAAACAGAGTCAACGGAAACAGTTTAGAACCAATCAGAAAACAACGACTGAAGGAAAAACGGCTTTTTAGAACAGAAAAGCTCTTACAGCAGCCAGATGTTTTAAAGATACAGACAGCTCTTTTGAGACATAATAAAAGGTGTAATTTAAACATCACTACATTGCAGCTGCAATCTTGACTATTATGGTTACAGAAATCAACTGTTTCATTATGGGTCTTCGTCCTATGTCTGTTAAGACCGGAGAGTGCTGAACCTGGAACGTGAAGCTTACCACACTGAATAGTGATCGGTATCTCCATGGCACGGCGCCTCTTGTATCTCAGCTCTGAGGATGGGGGAGAAGACCAACCGGCAGACAGATATCCAAACTCATCCCAGAACTTCGCAATGCCTTTTTGGGCTGCAAAAAACAAAAACAAAAAACAATTCATTACAATCTAATATAGCTACTTATTAAATAATCCAAAAGGAAACAGCCCTCTCCAACTTTTTTTTTAACTGGAATTAAGCAGCTTTTTTTATATATATCAGTCTCGTTATAGACAAAATGCCATTACAACAAGGAATTTAAAGTAAAAAACTAAACGTACAAAGGAAAAAAACGGTCTGAAATTTGATTTTCTGTTTGATGTGTGGTAACATCGATTGAAAAACCCAACCAATTTAGATCATTCAACTCATCATACCTACACTAACAATGACCTCCTGGAAGTTACTGCCGTCAAAAAATGACTGAAGGTGGGATATTTCGTAGCATAAGTCAGCAGTTTAAAATGAAGTCAGGAGGAGCAGAACAGCATAAGAAGCTATTTAAAAGAAAACTTTCTGTAAACTAAAACATTGGTTGTTCTGTCAGAGTGAAGCTTTTTAAACATTTAGTTCATGAGATATCAAAACAACGGATATCACAGGATGGCTAAATTGAGTACTAAAAGGATTTCCTGAACAGAAAACACAAGACGGGGCAAATCAGTTCAGGAAATTCTTTTCACATTTAGCACAGAAGAGAGGCTAGCCAGCTATAAATCACAACAAATGTTCTATATTTTACACTAGAAGCACAAGAAAGCAAGACAGCAAACTACAATGCTGGAAAAACTTTTATACCAAGAGGCAGAAACTGTATTGGGACCTGAAGTTGAAAAAAAAGTAACATTTGTAAAAGCACCATGTTAAAGTGCAAGAGGATTCTTTATCTCCAGAGGCCAGAAATATAAAAGCAGCAGGCGGCTCAAATCGAGGTTGGAGTCCGGCGGTGTTTAGTCAGACCGGCTGTGTGCCTATTGCACAAGATAATCTCATCCCAAAAGACAGTTCCGTTTATAACCAAAGATACAAACAGCAGTCTAAAATATTAAAACCACTCACCAATGTTGGTGTCCCTCCAGTACTGAACTAAATGCTCTCCCATTGCTTTCAGTAAGTGCCGGTACTCCTTTGCATCTGCAAAGTCCTGTTTGTTGTGGGTGGGCTCAAGCACCAAATATGGGACGTCGACAACTCCAACTACACCTCCACATGCCCTTAGATAAAACACAAATGCACACGTTTCATTTTCTTTAACACTTAAATTGTAGAGTGGCAGGATGCTAAAGTCTCACTGTGTCAACTTACATGCCTCCCTCTAGCTGAGGACCCGTCTTCTCATACATCTTGATAAGACGAGAGCAGTTGTACACAAACATGCCATCCAGCTCCCTCTGCTCAATATTTACTCCAAATATAAAATTTAAGTCCTTGGGTTCCTTTAGTGCTCTGAGGAAAAAAGGGAAGATTGTCTGACTAACAGGACCTAAATACCAAATATAAACAAGTTTTTAAGGTTTTGTTTAAAAAGTTTCTACGAATAAGATGTTCCTACAAAAGTGTTGGCCTATAGTGTACATCTACTAGCAGAAAGGCTAGTAACCCTAACCCTAGCAGAAACAGTTCTTCTAATCTGAAAATTAACAATCAGTTTGCAAACACAGCAGAAAAGCTTCCATTTGCTAAATCTGAAATCCATTAAAAAAGGCCTGAAAGTTTCATTGAAAAAATATGTCCCTCTACTAGGGCTGCACAGTCAACTGCATTTGCAATATAATCGCAAATTCACAAACAGAATTATTAACTCTCATAGGCACACAGTTGTGGTCACATTAGATTGAACAAGATTAAAACACCAATCTCACTCCAGCCCATTACATGCAGCAAGAGGTTTAAAGTGTTTGCTGCTAGCACACAGATCCTTGTATGCTATTAGAAGTAAATACTTTTCTACAAAAAAGTAAAATTCTGCCCCAATGGACTCTGGACAAGCAAGTTTTCAATGTCATGAACACAGTCAAACCCTGTATTGAAACATTTACATGCTTGTGTTTAATACAGAGAAATATCAACATCTGAATACTGGTTGGAGGAAAAAACATTAAAGAGATCCAAAATTCAATTTATGGCTAAATAATTTAGCCCTAATCTCTACACTTTCCTCTGTTCTGTCTTAGTTTTAGTTTTGTCTTCATCACTTTCTCTCCTCATGCTGAAATGTGATTACGGACCAAAGCCTTATATTATATATTAATGCAAACCACAGATTTCAATGGATATCTTATTTCTCTAATGATAAGCAAACATTAAGGTCCATCTAATAAGCCACACACCTTTAATTTTTCGATTAAGAGATAAATAAGATGTCTATAAAACAAACATCTACATGGTCCTACCACCATGTACTTTTTTTGTATTCGTCTTTAAAACACAATGTGCACATAGCGTCGTGCAACTGCATCAATCCTAACACTACAATTAAATGTTATGTGGCTTCAGTAAATATATTAGGCACTCAACCCAAATTCAATGTACCTCTGTTTGGCTTCAAGATTTCTCTTTCGTATCTCAGCATCCCTTCGCAGCATCATGGCAGAATCCTGGACTTTCCTCAGAACTGCCTAAAGACACAAAGAAAGAAGATGACAAAAAAGCCCAACACAGATCAATGCCAAACTTTCTCAAAACAGAAAAAAACCCAGACAAATTAAATCCAAAAATTCTCTGGTGATAAAAGAGAAAATTTAAATGCATAAATAATCAAAGCAGATCTGAAACTCAAGTAGAGGTCCCACATTAAATCACAATAATATGCTAACATTATATCCTCTTTTTAAGCAGTTAAAAATCTGTTGGCAAAGTTAATTTCTAACGAAAAGGAGTTTGGGTTTCTTTTTGTCGACTCGCCTCGTTTACAAATTTGACTTCACAATTTCTTCAAAATATTTTTTTTTTTACCCTTGATTCTTTTGACAGATCATCTCCTAATCTGGTCTCCATTGCTACACGCTTACTCTCCGCTTCCCGCGCCTTCTCTTCAGCTGGTATAAGGAGCAAAAATAAGTCAGATTAACTTTTTTTTTTTTTTTAAACAACGGTTTTATAAATCAAATACAGAAACCCACCTATTTTTGCAAGATGATCTGCTTTTTTCACTTCTTGTTCCGCACGGGTTTTAAACCGTGTTGATGAGTATTTATAAACCCTATTTCAAAAAATAAAATACTAGTAAGCATGTATTCAGTAAAGGCAAGATAAAGATAATTAAATACCAATGCATGGTAGATTAGTTTACCTTGGTTTGTAGAGGCAGCAGGAGAGTCTCTTAGTTCTGACTTTATGTCCCTGGATAAAGATCCTCATGCGTGGGTCGATGTACAGTACAGCAGTGTATGCCCTGAATGACCTCCTTTCTGGCTTCCTGTGCAGGTGTTCAGAAAATACAAGCAACTGATTACAACTGAATCCATAATCACAAAACAGGATAAAATCAGAGCAAACCTCTTTTTTTTTTTTTTGGTGAAATGTTTCAACACTAGTCCAGGAATCTTTGTCATCCTGGATAGCCTGGGGGTGGGTGGTGGGGTGGGGTGTACATTACAAACTGCAAGCAAATGACACTACACTACATGAGGAAGTATAAAACACAGCCGTTTACAAGTTTTTCAAAGCCTCTTTGCACCGCCCCAGAGCAACAGTTATTTCTTTCAAGAGGTTTCTCCATAATGTGTTGATAGTGGTGGTATCCAAATTTGACATTATTTTAGAGCATATGGCTACTGCGGTCCGAAAACATCCAGGACTGTGTTAAACCAAGTCATTTAATGACTTCCCTTAAGCAATGTTTAATACTTTAGTAGAGAAGCAATTAACCTGAAGATGCTTTGCTAAAGTTGCTATCCCCAAAAAGGAAGAAAATAGTACTCTCTTAAGATGTCAATAATAGGCTGTTTACATTCTGTGGAAAAAGCACAAAAGCACAAAAAATGGGTCCACATTCCAGTAAGAGAGAATCTAAAGGTGAAGAAAAGCCACAAGCAATAAAAAGGGGCTTGCATTCATGTGATATATTGGGGGGCTTCATGGTATTGAATCCACTTACACAGAACATTTAAAATGTGTATGGGGGATAGTTTATATACATGTGCTTTAAATAAAGCTGCTTGTGTCAGCATTTATTACATGTATGCCCTTTTTGCAGAATTCTGACTTCTTAGTTTAAGGCTGTCTTGTCGTTTCCATGAGCATGTGAATTAGCACAGGCATACAATACGTAATGTCTTTCACATAATGTGGGTTGTTTTGTTAGTCTCTAAAGGGTAGCTTAGCTAAACTCACACTCCTTCAGTAGGTGTCCCAGCCATGAGGATGTCCTGGTGATCGGTCTCCACATCCAGCTCAGGTTCTCCATTGTCCATCAGCTTTAGGTTATAGACAACCACAAGAGTACCTTTGAAAAAAAAAAAAAGAGGATGAAGTTAACAGTTCCACTGAATTATGCAATTATTCAAAAGCAAAAAATACAAATGTCCGCACCACTGCTGCTCTCTATCTTGTTGAACTGCTCCATCAGCTGCTGTTCATTTTTAAAAGGGGAGTATTTGAAGATAAGTTCGGTTTCTATTGCATACTTCTCAGGATCAGAGGTCAGTGGTTCCTTTGTTTTCAGATCCCAGGAAGGGAGAGGCACAATCACCTGAAATGACAGGGTCAGAAACCTTTAGCAATCTGCTATGGGACTTTAGCGTCAATCGTGTTCTAAAAACTATATGGTAGCTACAAAAAATGGTTCAGTTCATCCATTTCTTGCATATTATCTGTTTCTAATGGATTTTAATGGTCCTTTTAACAGTTTGCTTTAAATACCCAGGGTTAAGGAGGACTGAAACTAAGGAATAAGAAAATGACAAAGGAAAAGCAAGTTTAAAAGGGTGAAGGTAAAGATGAGAACAAGTAAGACAACTTTCATAGATCTCAAAAACCTTCAAGTCTACATCAGAAGACTGCTTTCAGTAGATTATAGTTTCAGGACTCATTCAGTTATACACCACTCATACAGACCAGTTATACAAGGCTATTAAAAATTAAATATAGGGCTGAACAAATTTGCCAAAAGTAAAATGCTTTTTTTTTTAAACAACCACCTAAACCATAGATGTTTCACTTCATGGTGTCATTGTTTCATGACCTTAAAAGCTTGCTTGTCCAGAGTCTGTTGACCTATACTCTTGTATGAAAGAGTGCTTACTTCTACAATCATGCATGGATCTGTGTGCCAGCTGCAACTCATTAAAGCCTGTCACATCTTGACAACCTGACCTACGAAAAATCTGGCAAAAAACCCTGGCATACATTGGGTCAGTTTTTTACAAGTTATGAGCATACTGGCACACGCTGGCATACAGCAAGTACATCAGCGTATGTTCATACGTGGGTCATAAGTCACAGGTAAGTTATTTGATCGTTGACATACGTGAAGTCTAAAGCCGGGTATAAACGTTAAGATTTTTTGCCCTTTCCAGGCCAATTTCTTATTGTGCAAGAATGTTTTCGATCGGGCAGAGTTTAAGCCCCATAGTGCGTCCTGCGTTGTGCAGTACACAGGGGGTAACGATGGTCGATCAGCCTCTCACGACCACCTCCCGATCAGGAATCGCATAGTCCGGAGAAAATAAAAAATGTCTGAAATTCAGTCGGCTGTTGTAAGGTGTTCATGGGCCAGTCCTGCTGTTGAAGCAGATCTAGGAGCCGATTTAGCAGAACCTCATGCACTGTGCATAGTCAAACAAGGGAGTAGTTCTTCTTCCAGATTGACGAGTCTGACCAGCGCCATCTCTCGGCGCCGAGTCCCACATGTGGTTTTTGGACATGCAGTGTGAGCAGTTGAATTGGATCAGAGCACCGGGCAGTACAGTGTAAGAACAAACATTGTGAGCTGTGAACTTTTAAACCCTGCAGATTTGTCATACAGTTTGAGCTGTAGCTGTGTGGAACGACTGAAAACGTTGTACAGTTTTTGCGCAACTTTAATTACTTGTGCATACCATATCAGAGAACTTATCTCCAAAGCATACCAACGTATTTTGGTCCTGTTCTAGATTCCCACTGAAATTGTTTATAACTTACAGCTACTGTATAATGGCTTATTTGCAGCATTTTGTAATAAAAGGGGGTTCACAGGAGGAAATAGTCAGTTGTTCTCAACACTTCAGCCCTATTATAAGGTGTGTGTGATGGATCCTCCCTGCATTTACACCCAGAGCCAACAAACTTCCGAGCAGACATGACACCGAATCTGCTGCATCTGCAAACCCTCAGAAAGAGGACTACTGCTAAAGTTTTTATACTCCTTGATTTTGCACAAACTATCAAAGTCCTTGCAGGAACTTCCTAGCGTAGTAAACTAGCCCCACCCGCCAGTGGCCAAACTCATTTTTGCCTGCGAGTTTGGTCTAGCCTCGATCAATGCCCCAGGCCCTAGAACTAGCGGGCCAATCACAACGCAGAGATGCGTTTTGAATTTATGGATGCCAAGTGCGCAGGGTTTTGAGGGCATGACGACAAAGCTGTGCGACGCTGGAGAAAGCACAACAAGGAAGATGGCAACAACTATTGAACAGTTCTCGTTTAACTCAGCTTTGGAATCAGTTTTGGAAGGACTAGACTTGGGTTTTTTGTTGAAACGTGAGCAGGAAGAGGCTCTACGCTCATTCATTTTTAAGGAGGACGTATTAGCCATTTTACCGACAGGCTGTTTGTTTACAATCCCCCACCAGCATCCTGTCGCGCTTACTACATCACAGTCAATGGTGCTCATTGGTTAGAGCGTTGGCCAACAGGCACAGACATGGTTTGGAGGAAAGAAAAAAAAAGGGGGGGTTGTTCTCATCGACAATTTTCCAATGTCTCATTCATCGGGGCCAAACTAAATTACACATTTAATCCACATTTTGTCTGCTTTAGGCTAGGAACTTCCCGCCCTCCACAGAGCAGGAAAAGTCAGTTCTACTTTGGCAAGTTTGAGTTCAGAAGGTCACAAAGACACCCACACTCCTTCATGCCCATGGTGCAGCAGTATCAATGTCTCATGTGAATAGAACAAAATGTATTAACTCAAATGGATCTCCTGCACCTGCAGGTGTGGTCATATTAGGTCAAACACCTGACAGACAAGTTTTAACAGCTAAAACAGCTTGTGGTGAAATTAACCCTTGAGGATAAAAACTGTGTATAGTTTGCATTCAGCACATAGAAAAAATATCAGTTAAACAATTTTATACTTCAGTTGTCACCCATCAAATTAAGTCATTAAACATGAAGCAAAATTGAAGGTTATATTGTAATCATTTTGCAAATGTAATTAGTGGTCCAACTACTGAATATACCGTATTTTCACGACTATAAGGCGCACTTAAAAGTCTTTTTTTTTCCTCAAAATGTGCGGTGCGCCCTATGGTGCGGTGCGCCTTATGTGTGTTGTAACTGCGACTTTTGAGACCACCTCATTGAGGAGATGATGTGAAAAACATGGGGAAACAAATGAATGCTGTGCTTGCTGTTCAACCGCTCGACATCGGTGTGAACCGTACCCAGCAGGTGCAGCAGAAGCAGCGAGTTTACATGCAAAGTCAATGGTTGACGCGCATATAGGTGCAGCAAAAGGTCCTGCAGCGCGTTTTGGTGCAGCACGTCGGGAGCGTTTAAGCATCTGACGCACCGCCAACGCGCTGCTGCTGCTCAGATGGAAAAATTGAAGTTTTGCTGCTTGACGCGCCGCATCAACCAATCAGAGAAGCTGATCTGGGAGCTGACAGCGAGACTGACACAGCGCTCTGATGACATATGATATTAACGCAAATGAAAAAGGCTGGATGAATGAGGAGATGATGAAAGGCAGGTGTATGTGAGGAGACCAGGTGCTTTTTTCCACGCATCACCATCGCTGCGTGCCCATTTCACAGCCGATGTGAAAAAAAGATGAATCAAATGAACGCTGTGCTCGCCGTTATCCCGGGAGGTCTGACAAAGGAACTTCCACCGCTCGACATCGGTGTGGAGCGGCCGTTCACAGTAAGGCTGCGAGCGGCGTGGGAGCGATGGATGACAGACTGAGACCACAGTTTCAGGATAAGTGGAAGGCAGCGCCGTGCAAGTTACGCCACCGTTTGCGGATGGATTGTAGATGGACTAACGTGTCTGCTGGCTCTGTTGTTCAAGCTTTCGCAAAAGCCGGCATTATTTCTGAGGAGCTGCGCTGCACGGAAAGTGACTCTGACAGCGAAGAAGGGGAAACTGGCATGTCTGATTTAGCGCAGCTGTTTTATTCAGAAACAGAGGATGATGACTTTGATGGGTTTGATTAATACTTTGTAATAAATACATGAATAAAGCACAATCATACTCAGGTTTGCTTCCGCTCTATTTTTCTACCTGAAAACTTAATTCAACAGCAGCCTGTGGGCGCGTCTCCTCCTCTTCAGCGCGGTGGCTGGCAGGTGTTTTTTCATCTAAATAATCTAAATCTTGCAGCTATATTTGCTGTGATCAGTTGGAATAAAGTAGTTTTAATATGTTTTTAAGTGAGAAAGTCCACCTGAAAACTTCATAATTGCAGTCAGTTCATCCAGATTATCTATTTCTGTCGGAGGCGCTCAGACCCCCACATACCAGCGGTGCGCCGACAGGAGAAATCCTTTCGTTCACCGCGGCTGCTGGCAGGTGTTTTTCATCTAAATAATTTTAGCTGCAGGCACCAGGATACCGGTAATAAAAGCGAACATATTCCGTCGGCAGGTTTCAGGATTTTAAGTTAATTTAGGAGTGACCACAGCGCTGTGTCATCTGCGATGTGTCTGTCTCACGGCCAGCTGCCAGGTTTGATTAATACTTTGTAATAAATACATGAATAAAGCACAGTCATACTCAGTTTTGCCCCCGCTGTATTTTTAAATACGCAGTAGAGGTATTTAAAGGTAGTAGAGGACATGTACCTGTATATAAAAAACGCGCCCTATAGTCCGGTGCGCCTTATGTGTGTGTTAAATACAGAAATGGGACACATAACTGAGAGTGCGCCTTTTAGTCCGGTGCGCCTTATGGTCGTGAAAATACGGTACAGTGGTCTTAAAGGAATAGTACACCCAAAACATGATTAGCCTTCATTTTCTACTCACCCCCATGCTGAACAACACCCTGGAGTACTTTTTTGATATCTCAAATGTATCTGGAGATCTGGGAGGCTTCTTGCTGTCTGCTGACATTCAAATAATGGAGGTCTATGGTGCCTGAGACAGAAAGGTCCATAAAAGTCCACAAAAAACGTGTCAATATTCCTCCATACTGGTCGTCTAATGTATTCCAAGTGTCCTGAGTGGGTAGCATCCAGAATTTACTCGAAACGAAGTCATTTAGAATGTTTTTAGAGCATAAACAGTAGTGTATAGGACTTCCTGAAAGCGCGCACATGCGCGTTCACGACGCTACGGAAGCCGGCAGACCAAACCAGCGCATTCAGCTCGGCAAAGAACTCATGCTCTTCCTCAACACTGAAGTCCTCAGACATTTTTCTTTCGTTGTTTCTTTCTTTGCACAGGTAAACAGCACATTTCTTCTTCTACGCTTGCATTATTGGCAGAGCAGACGCTGAATGCGCACTTTCATCTGGTTTGGTCTGCCGGCTTCCGTAGCGTAAAAACATTCTAAATGACTTCGTTTCGAGTAAATTCTGGATGCTACCCACTCAGGACACTTGGAATACATTGGACGAGCAGTATGGAGGAATATTGACACGTTTTTTGTGGACTTTTATGGACCTTTCTGCCTCGGGCACCATTGACCTCCATTATTTGAATGTCAGCAGACAGCAAGAAGCCTCCCAGATCTCCAGATGCATTTGAGATATCAAAAAAGTACTCCAGAGTGTTGTTCAGCATGGGGGTGAGTAGAAAATGAAGGCTAATCATGTTTTGGGTGTACTATTCCTTTAAATAATATCCAAAACACTTAGGCATTTAATTTTTTCCTACTGTACTAAATTTAACAACAGTTAGTTTGTTCACTGTTGTACCAGTTGTGTTAAGACTTTGATATAGTTACAAAGCTTTAAAAACAAAGGTGAACTGTTATCCAAATGTAACCACTCCCAACAGAGCTCACACTGCTCCCAGTCATTATCATTTCAGAAAAGCTTTTGTTACTAATTAGCCTGACACTTCTATCCAAAGCAACCTACAAAAGAAAGATTTTAATAGTTTAAGCCTGACAAAGCAAACTTCTGCGTTTTGTTTTGTACATGCAATGCCGTGATGGAATTATCACATTTCTCACCTTGCATAGAGTAGTGTGTGAACAAGTTTCCTTCCTCAAACACAGTTACCACAGAGAACCTCTGTTTTAACTGCTGTGAGAAAGCTGTACTAATACAAGTGAAGACCATGTTTTCAAAAGCTGGCATAAAACAACTTAAAGGGGTTCTGGTTCCTGACCGCTGATGCTCTAGACTCTTCAATGCAAAACACAGACATATTTTCTGTACAATTCTGCCTTAACTAATGCTCAGAGTGGGTTGCTTTTTAAACAAAGGGAAAATTGAGAGCCTTGGGTTAATAATCATGAACTTACTATTTAAATTTTTTTTAATGATCCAATTAAAGAAACAATCACACAGGAAGTATAGCACTGTTTACTGAGGAACATTAGTGTTTTTTCAGGGAGAACTGCTGGGAATTCCACCTACCCCACATACAGGAAATAATGTAAAGACCCACAGTCTCACCTCCAGCCGTCATCTTCACTTATAAGATAAAGCTGTCAGTCAAAGTCTTCCTGACACTACTTCAGTTGTGATTATGTCTGTATAGGCCAATCAGGACTGGGCTCACAGTAGATATGTCTCCTCCTCAAATGTCAAAATCAATTTTGCTTTGCGTGAGGAGAAAATCAGCCGGAGCAGAGGCACCTTCGAGAGTGTAGCCATCTGCGAGAGAGGGCGCCATACAGAAACTCGCATTTAAGTAGAACAGCGTTGTGGTGAGATCCCGAGCACACCCAGGAAGAACGGGTGCGCCCACTGAGCTGCAGTTCCCTGTGCGTGTGGGATTTTTTTCACTCTATGGTTGATGAACCGAGAGTGAAAGAAGTTTAATATACTTGAGATTATGTTTATTTTGCTCTCTAATTGATAATAACAGCTGAACTTCATTGATCTCACATTGGAGAAATGTACCTCTGGATTTAACCCAGGAGGAGCAATCAGGAGTTAAGGGTCTTGCTCAGAGAGATAGAGTGGCAGTCGGCAGGAAAGGGTTTTAAACTCACAACCTTAGGACTGCAAGCTCTATGCCCTAACCACTAGGCTCCCCTAAGGTTTTAACAAAACCATTCCCCGTCATTCATTCAAGTCAAAAAATTAATAAAAGAAGAAAAAAAAGGGGGACTCTGACCTCATCGAGCCCTTCTTCTTCATGGAAAGTCCTTGATAGGAAAAGACAGGTTAGTGTCTTTTCCTTTTTTGTGAATAAGATAAAGTCTTTCCCAATTCGCATTGAGCCCCTGGAACAACAGAAACAAATACCACGTAACATACCAGACACATGTGTGCCAAATGCATTATATGAATATCATACAAAAAGATGAAAGTAAAGGACTCACGATTTTAATCCATTTCCGTACTGGCCAATGTGAGTGGATTCTGGAGAACGTTTGTTTGACTTTCCAAACTGGATCACGTGGGTTGCCTCAACTGTTAAAAACAAGATATTTTGGAAACACAGCAAATAGAATAAAATACTTAAAGCCAAGCCATCAAATTAAAGTCCTGCTTACTTGGGTCCATTCCAATGCCATCATCTAGGAAGCATAGCATAAAACCACCACGGAGCTCTTGTCGTTTCTCTGGAATAATAACATAGACACAGCAATTATTAGATAATATCTGTGAGCAATTCAATGTCTAACACTGAGAAAATATTTATAAATCTACCAGTGTAGATGTCTATTCTGGTTGCACTGGCATCTCTGTAGAGAAAGAAAAAAAGGAAACAGTCAGAAAAATAAGTTATCTTGGCAGCGTCATTTTTCAGTAACTATAAAGCAAGTTGTCAAATATTGTGGTTACCTTGAGTTGTCGACAAGCTCAGCTAATGCGCCAAACAAAAACTCGTGGGTTGTTCTAAGAAAACATAATAAATGTATTAGTTAAAAAATAAGTTACAGGGGACTTTGCTCTAATAATAATTAACTGGCTTCCTTTTCTAAATTTGCAGTAAAGTCTTTGTACACCTGATTATCATCATTTTATGCAAGCAAGATCAAAAGTAGTGACACTGTGCAATGTGTCAAACAAATACTTGGTTGGCAACATATTAATGTTATTATTATTTTGCCTCTTTATTTCAGAGGTGTGCCTCTGAACATTTAAACACATTTCAAATATTTCCGAAACATAAGGCTCAGACATATACAGTAGTAGCCATTCAAAATATAACCACTTTCCTTGATGGGCTCTTGGCTGGTCCTTGACTGGTCCTCTACAATTCCTTTTTAAGCATAGATCTTTGTACCAAAATATTCTTTCTTTGCCCTTGCAGACATGCAGATCGAAACAGAAGTGTTATTTCCTGTTCAGACCCTTTAATTCAGTGAAATGGTGGAGTGAGAGTAAAGAAATATGCACGCCCATGAGAAGGCCAGTGGCTGGAAGTTGGAGGGGATTTTGATGCGATTCCACTGGCTTTTGACTGGAAAGGGCCATTTTGAGTGGCTGCTACTGTAATATTTCATTGACATAATTGAAAAGTTAATTTACTTGAGCAGTCAAACCCAAATGAACTAAACAGAGTGATGCATCTTTTCCTGCTTTTTTATTATCATAGCCTTCAGCTAATAAAAACATAAAACAAAATATTGCTATTTAAAAAATTATAATTACATAAATAATACCCATTTAACTCTTTGTAAAAGATCTATACAGTAAGCAAACTATTTGTTCAGCATCTATTGATTAAATGACTGTATCAATACATTAAAATTTTGCCTTGCTCTTGCCTTAAAATCTTCTGAAGAAATCCTTATTCGATATGACTTTCCCTCCACTTAACTTTCCAACAAATTGTCTTGGCAGAATCATTATTTGACCTCACAGCCTTTTGTTTTTGCTAAAATTAGGCCCTTCGGTATAACCGCCCTCGTTAGGTGTTCATAATGTTTTAGTTAATGTATATTTACAAGGTAAGAGTTTCAAATTTTGAAATTAACTTGAAAACAGCTGCACTTTTAAAACAATATTCTAAACATCAGAGAAGAGCTTGTGCACAAACTAAATCAAGATGGAAATGGGGCTTGTTGGAAAAGCCTAAATTTGGATTTGTGTTATAAAGTTGAAATATATGCATAACTGTCTGCACTCCAAACAGTGTAGAGCTTCAAACATGCTTCTACCAGACTCTGAGCTCACACAAAATTAACGTTTTCTTTTGGACTAGCCTACAATAAATAAAAAAAACTTCCACTTCTTCATCGCAATCTCTCCTCTATTATGTTTAGGACTAGAACAATTAATCGAATAAATCGATTATTGAAAAAATCATAGACTAATTTAGTCATCGATTAATCGTCTACTGGTGTACGGAGACAGTAAAACACACCTTTAACTGACAGACAGACCCGCTTAGAGCAGTAATTAGGGCTGCAACTAATGATTATTTTTTGTGAATTGATCAATCTTTTTTTAGATTGATCTTGAACAGCCAAAGGGTCTTCCAGGTCTAAGCACCTAAAACATCATACATACATACATACAGGGAAAGAAAAAGGCACAGAGACATTTAGTTAAGTTTTACTCGCGAGAAAAGTAGTAAGGGACCACACAGTTAGAGATCTCCACAGCACTCTGGCGGTCTCTGCGTCCTCCTCGCAATTTATTGAAATCAGGCTCGCAGTCTCAGTAAATATGTCCTCTAAATCTCAGGGTTCAGTCAAAGTTTAACTTGTTGCAGCACGTTTAGTGCTGCTTGTAAATCAACCATAACCTCCCCAAAAGCAAGTCCACAAATCACAGTGTACTTTAGAAAAGGTGGCTATGATTACATGCACTTAGCACACAGCTTTATGCATTATAACACTACACTGATACATTTATATACAATTATTCTAACAGGTTCCTTGAAGAATATTTATTTTTACGAAATTAAACCGAAACAAAAACCTTTCCTCTTGAGGAGTTCTGGATAAAGCATATTAACAGACAAAAAGGTATTTTTTCATCTTAAAGGCATATTTTTTATGCATTTTTATATAATTATTACTGTAATTGGTTTGCTCGTCAACTAAAGGCATGGTTTAAGCCGGGCTTACACTGTGCGATTTTTTTTCCCTTTTCAGGGCGACTTTCCAGTTGTGTGAGAATTTTCCAACCAGGCCGAATTCAGCACTATCGTGTAGTGTACAGGGGCGAACAAGGAGCAATCAGCTTCTCATGACCACCTCCCAATCAGGAATTGTGAGGTCGGGAGAAAATCAAACATGTTTGATTGTCGTATTCAAATCGCTCAGTTAGCATGTGCAAACAAGGATTCTTATTCTTCCTCTCAGACAAAAACACAGAAGCATGGCGGGGTGCAAGTGTATGGAAATCTTTCTGTAAAACGAGCTTGAGAAGCACCATCTCAATGCGGAGCTCAGTCCGACGTGGTTCTTAGACGCACAGTGTGAGTAGGTAGATAGCATCAGAGCGTTGTGCTGCACAATGTGAGAACATACAGTATGCGCTGTAGCTGTGTGCAACAACTGAAAAAAATCGCACAGTGTATGCCTGGCTTTAGGGTCTCTATGCTCCAGTTAAAGATTAATCGATTACTAGATTAGTTGACAATTATTTGAATAATCGATTAAGCAGATTGTTTCAGCTCAAACAGTAATTATATCAAAACTGTAAAAAAAAATAAATAAATAATATATATACATAAATAAATAAGTTTTAGTATAACCTGAATTAATTTCACAAGAAAAATCTTTACGTAACCTTTTGCTATCTGATTGTTAATAGCTTACTTGAAAAAATAATTAACATGCTAATCGATTTGCAAAAATATTCTTTAGTAGTAGCCCTAATTAAGTTAGAGTAAAATGTCTTCCTTTTCTGGTGGGATGCATTTAATCTGCATTAAAAACTTAAGACTTCAAACAAATCAAATAAGTCTGGTTCTGTTTAAGCTTTGAGTTGAAATGAACATGTAAACTGATTATACTTACGAGTTTGTGTGCAGGTACTCAAAGGTAAGCTGAGCCCTGCTAAGGTTGCTGTAGCTAGAGTAAGCCATTGCACCTCAAAGTTATGCTCTACTTCCTTCCTGGTCTCCTGTTAGTATTCTTCCTGACCAAACCAGCTCTAGTCAAAAGCTTTCATCCTGGAAAGGGGGAGATAAATGCCATCATTAAGTATTTAATTGCACATATTCTTAAAATAATCAACTGACAGCCCAACGAACGCTAACATTGACTTAGATAGACAATACATCACAATAAGCACTTACATGAAAGTCTCCCTGCAGAAGGTAACGCGGATAGACCACGTGGGAGGCCTGTTGAAGAACAACAAGATGTTGTGTCTCGGTCAGTGAGCGCCTTCGTATCCAGTCCTGCTAACACGTTTCAATGTACATTTCTAAAAGCAGCTAACGGACGAGCTAGGCTTCCATTAACCAACGTGAAGTCACGTTGATTGGGCAATATATGATATGAACGGTTTACCGTAAGGAATCAGTTACTGCTAACATTTACCAGTTGGTTGAAATAATGGCTAAAAGGCGTTAGCATTCCTTTACTGTTTATAACGAAACATGCTACTAGCTAGCCTTAAACGGACATTACTCGAGTCATAAAACGTTGACCAAATATGCAGGTCGCTCCGGTATAACGGTGACCTAAATTTGTAATAATCACAATTTTTGGGAATAGATACTTTGTAACTTTACTGTATTCGTCTCCTAGGCATAAACCAATCCCACAGGCCGCGTAAAATCCAGTTTCTTCGTCGCCGATGGTTGATTCCCCTGTATCGCCCTGACAATGCAAAAACCCCGCCTCCGCTTTTCCACCGACCAATAGGAAAGCACCATGACACCAGTCTCAACAATCATTGGTGGAGCCGGCTGTCGACGTAAACATCACATACGTTGAAACGCACCTGTGGGCCTCAATGTAACACTAACCCCCCCTAAAGACAAATCTTAAAATGAAAGATAACGTCAAAAATTGACGTTCTTTGGTGCAGTTTTAATCAATAAGCGCTTAAAGTTAGGGTCGCTTTATAATGCGAAAACAAGACACCAAATTTGCTATTGGACCATGATTCTCAGCTTTGTTTCTCAAACTATGGTGGTATTTGTAACAACTCTATAGATAGCAGGCTAACGTGAACCAAGTAAAAAGTAATATAGTTCTAATAAAATAAAACAGATGAAATAAGATGCAGCTCAAGCAGGCTGGAAAAGTCTGGAATTTGAATTCTGTGTTTTTCAGGTAATTTTAAGTATTGGAAAAAAAAAGCTGGCAATAGAGAAACAATGTTTTCCAGTCTTTATTCTCTATCTCATCGATTTCTTTTGCCTTTTCACTGGGTATACCTAATTTGCCATCCTTTATTCCTTCCTTTTCTGCCTGTCTTTATTATTAATAACCTTCATTTCAAGCCTTTTCCCTTTTTCTTTTATCTTCTTTCTCAGGTGCTCCCTTTAACCTCTTCCTTGTGTGCCTCCTGCTTTTATTATCTCCCTAATACTCTGTCCATGCGTTTTATCACCACTCCTTACGTTTCCTTTCTTCTGATGATGTGTGAGTTTATTACACAATAATATTCCCTGCCTGTTGCGGGTCAGAAAGAATGTTTTCCCCAGTAGTTTATCTAACAAGGACAGTTCCTGTGTCTGCATATACAGTTATCTTCATTCTGTACGTGGCAAAGAGCTAAGAGTGTAATATTTTGATATGGCTGGAGCCATGGATGTCTCCTCCTCTGCAAACATGTATGATGTAATTATGTGGCAGACTGGAGTTGTGTAAAATGATTCTGTAATGATGAATCAGGGCCACTTCACGAGAAGTGAGCCTGGTTGGTAAGCAGCTGCCTTCTGTAACCCTAAGCAAGCTCTCTGATCAGAGTAAGATTACAATTTCTCTTAAATTTTTGTCTTGTTTCATGGTTATTTAATATATATACATTATGAGGTGTTAAAGAGTTTGTCCTGATTTCTTTTCAGGAAAAAGAACCGCAGAGAGAAAGCTTCAAGGTGTAGACACAGAGAGTTCCTTTAACACCTCCTTTATTTCCACTCCTTTCCTTCCCTACATCGTGTAAATCTCTTCATGTTATCCTTTCTTTCTCTCTAAATACAAACTTCAACTTGACCATCCTCCCTTCCCTTTGCCATGTTTCCATGATTCTCTGGATTTTTCTATTTTTTTCACCCAGGTTCTATGTTTAAAATCTGCCAACTGTAAAAAAAATTCTGCTTTAAAATGTTAATGTAATGCAGTATTTTATAACTGAAACTGAGTATACAATATTTTCATCACTGACAAAGGGAAAAAAGGATGAAAACTTTTTACACCATTTCTGCTTGTTATGCCCCTTTTTCAGAATTTGAAGAAGAAACAGAAGCTGAAAACACAACTAAGAAAAAGTTTTGGTGGCTTCCATGCTATATTATGTTAAGACTTAGATCCAACAAACTGAATCAAGCCCATTTAATCATGGGTCAGTTATAATCTGGACTGTTAGGGGCTCAAGAGTTCGTACAACTTGAAAAGGGTAAATATTGATAGCAATACTTCAACCAGGTTTTGCACTGCCACAGGGTAAGTATTGATGCAAAAAAGCATTTAAGGAGTCTTCGCTAACAGAGTTTGTATACATATTTATGTGCGGGGAAAGAATTAGAGATGAAACGGCCAAAAAAAATATACATGACAGCACTAGTAAAGGTTGCCAAATGTGGAAAATTTAGTTTATTTGGGTCCCATCAGATTCATATAAAAAAAAAACAAAAATCAAAACATTCATTCACTTTAACTTTCAAACACTGAATTTTCTTTGTAAAGTCTTTAGACACAAATACTTAATTAAACCAACACCCAAAAAGAAATATACACAAACATGGAATTATTTTGTTATATTGAAAATTCAAATTAAAGGTAGATAACATTATGTGAGGAACCATCTCCTTACTATGCTCCTTACTATGCATTACAACTGGTATTTTTTTTTGTAAATGTTATATATAAATGTTATATATATCATAAATCTCCTAAAATCCCAGTCAGTATGAGTCAAGCTGGATTTTTTTTAAAGCTTTGATATAAATAATTTATTTGGGATATGAGATCACATTTGTCACAAGGTGAACTATGTAAACCAGGGTGTGGTAAAAGCACGCAAGGATGGGGAACTAAAAAGATTTGAAATATTTCACTTTCATCTAATAAATACTTTCTTCAATGTGCCAGTCAAAAACATTTCTTCAGCTTTCAATCAAGGGTTCCTGTAAAAAAAAAAAACAGTACAGAAGTTCAATCAGTTTCTCCTCATGCATATAATATGCACCATGCAACTATAATTGATCAACAATTGATTTTAAAGACAAAGTTATGAAAGCTAATTATTATAAGTAATGCACGTTACGTTTTGGCTGTCTGGTGCTTGTAGATATTCTCGATGTGCAACGTTATTCTTCAAGCTTGCAGCTAAACACAGAAACAAACAAACACCAACCAGGCAGACACTGACTTCAACCAGATGTTGCACTGCCACACTCTGTTCTTCCTAGAATGATACAAATGGGAGAATTGTTGAAAGGGAGACATATAGAATTGAATGGTATTAATGAAGAAATAGGAATGTTCTTGAAGAATGAATCTACGTACCAGAGTTAACATGACAGTCAGTGCAGGGTCTTTCTTAAAGTGGAGGCTGTAGCAGGTTTTAGACACTGCTGGAAGCTCATTGGTCACTTCCACTGGGATGCCTGAAATATTTGTCTCTAATGAAGAGCACCTTGGAGGGAGCCTATATTAACAGGAGATTGTATATTAACAAAAAAAAAAAAAACAGTCAACAAAAAACACAGTATTGACCCAGCTGGTGAAAAAGCAGCAAATAAATCAATTTAATTTGAATACATTTAGTTATTGGTAAATAAAACCAGTGTGAGGAAGTAACTCTTAACAAAATCAATGGGATCAAGTGGTTGATTTTGTGTTTTTGACTTATGAAATATACAATGAGGTCTTTTTTTTAGGTTTTCTAAAAGAGGGTTACAGTTTCTTTAATCTTAAATTTAGTAGAAAGACAGACCCACATCATCACAGGCCCCCCGCCATACTTAACAACGGATGACTTGAGCTTTCTCATATCAACCCACATATATCTTTTGATTTACGCCAGACCAACATTGAATCATTTTTGTACAAATGCTTAATTTTAGAGTAACTTTAGAATTGCCCAAAAGTGTACAAAATAGAGAGGAAAACATAACCTGTAAGAAAAAAATTACGTTTGAATTTGTGATAGAACAGTTAATATTTTTTCACCGGGCATCACACCCAAACAGCATGTAAATTGCCATAGAGAGCTGGCCAATCCAAAATGCCCACTTTTGGATTCAGGGTTGTACACCAAGCTAAGCAACCTGCAGAATGTTTTGGCATGACCTCAGACATATTTCATCTGTGATATCATCTGGTCCTGCTTAAATCAGTGATAACCCAGCATAGATGCACACGAACAAGATGGAGGAGAGGACTCTCTGCAGTCCTCATAGACATATTTTGGTTCTTTGTGTCCCTCGCTGAGGACTTCTCTCTTTTACTTATGTCCCACAGCAATCTCAAGTCAAAACAGCCTTTTCTCATGGTCTCCATTAAAATGTTATACTTTTCCAGACATGGCTAAATTTAGATGAATAGCTAAATTCTTGAAGCCATTGCCTGACATGTGAAGATAAAAAAAACACACCTGTCTAAGTGAAAATGGCATATTGCTTGTCGGTTTAATTTTGAGGAGCAACTAAGAGAAATTTGACTTTAATTTCTCACATTCATAACCAGTGTTGGGACTACCATGTAATTAAAAAAACTTTTTACAGTAACTGTTAACTTGTCTGTCAATAGCACTGTTACTAATTAGCTTGTAAAAGTCAAGAATGTGTTATTCATTTTTGCACTTTAAAAACATTTGTTATTTGTTACTTAAGATGGGTAAATTATGACCACCATCAGCAATGTAAACAACTTCAGCATGCTTGAACAGAGAGTAGACGATGGCGCAGAGCCACTGATTCAATGAGAGCGTTTCTGCAGAAATAGCGCTCAGTCAAGTGAAAGTCTAAATATTTTGGTGATTATAAATGTTGGTTCAGGGCTGTAATTTAAAGACCCTCTTCACATCACCTTAGCACTGACTGACAGCTGGCTGCATCTAATCAACACATCCTTACTTTCTCAGGGCTATACTGATTTTACTTTCATGTTTTATGTGTTTTCACACAATTATACTGAGATCATACAGTCCTGCTAGGATTTTCTTTCTGGAATACTGTAACCCTGTTTAATTCTATTGCAAAGTATATTTTATTTTTGTTCAATTGCTCCAAAAGCATTATTTTTCAGCTTCATACCTATTTATATCCAATTGATAGCTGTCAATATGCAAAAACATAAAGTTCTAAAAGATCTTATTTTTCTTTTATTATAAACAAAAAACACGATCACATCTACATAAGTATATTGCAACTCTTCAAACCACGCACACCAAAATAGTGCAGATTAGTATTCAATGCTTTCAGATGTGTAGTCCTTTTAATTAACTTTTTATTTATTAATTATTAATAAACATCTTATATTTTACAATTGAACCTCTAGCTGTATTCAAAGTTCCCAAAACAAGAAACGTATC